TGGAAGAAACTACACTGTCTTTTCTCATATTATTTGAATGGTGCACAATTCTGCACGCTGAGGGAGGACATTTAAACTTGAAAGCTCATGAGAGAAGCTTACACTTTGAGAGACAGACAGAGAGAGAGAGAGAGACAGATAGAGAGAGACAGAGTGTCAGTCAGTCTATCGGGGCTTCGGGCAACCTGGCCTTATAGACTGGGAGGGAAAGGATATCTACTAAAGTAGAAAAAATGCAGCCCTTCCCTTTCACCTCAGAGGAGACTGATGATGTCTAAGGCCAGTTGGACAATAGTCAGGACGAGCATTACAAATAGATGAATAAGTTGTTAGAATCCATCTGCTCAGCTCTGAGGATTTGAAAAACTGGCTGGGTCCAGGGTTGTGTGCTTCAAAATACAACTACATCTGATCTGCTCTTCATCAAAAGTCACGGTTACTAGAAATACATTCTGAGAGTACTGCTCTTGTGCCCCGTGAGGGTGTGACTTGTCACTTCTTCCTAACCGCCTTCTGATCCTCAGTTCTTGTCACGCTCAGTGCCAGAAACTTTCCCTATCCTGTGGCCTGACCTCAATCCCAGACAAATGACCAGACTATCTGACTCTCTCCTTGCCTAGCTCTAAAAACAGATTTAGTTCTGAAGAGCAGAGAGTTCTGAAGACGTTTTTCTACATCTTCCTTGACCTCACACTGTGGAGCTCCTGCCACGGGAAAATACTATCTCATCTTAACATTTCCCTCTTTGATACCTCCAGCCAAGCCCTCTGCAGAGACATTCTGCCATACAATGCTCATGACCCTTCAGCAAAGCTCCCTCTGGAGATTACATTGGAAGTCTCCTATGAAGAATGCTTTAAGAGGGTGATGGAAAAGTCCCCTTTGACCAAAAATGACTCCCTCAGAAGCCTGTCACAAGACCAAAAAGTCCACCACTCATCTCTTTTCTCTGGATTAAAACACAGATGGCAAGTCTAGAAAGATGGGGAACATATGAAGTTGTTATCAATTATAAGCTCGCCGGCTAAAAAGAACCTACCAGATTTGCTCTGGCCACCAGTAGGGCTGATGAAAAGGGATCATGGACACAAAATATTTGCACAGATATCTAACAAAGGAAGATGCCTGGACATAGAGGTTAAGCAATCAAAATGTCTTCCTTTAGCTATAGAACTAAGGGAGAGGGGGACAGACGTTATACTATATGCCACAAAGAGGACATAACCCCAAGGAGAAGACACACAGATAGGAAAAGATGATAGAAATGATTATGAAAACAATGTCTGTAGTTTTCATTCAGTGAGAAGACATAGTGTTAAGCATTTGACACGCATTATCTTATCTGATTTTCATGATCCATGTACTAGGTAAGTATTCTCATTTCCATTTTACAGATGAGTATATTGAGGTTCATAGACAATTCATCCCTTATCTTATTCATACATCTAATAAGTGGCAGGTTGTAAGTTCAAGATTCCCCTCCAAAGGTCATTATCATTCCACTCAGCCAGACCATCCTCCAAATAATGTATTAGTTATATTATAAATAGGGAACATGTGTTCTTTCTCAGGGAAAAAGAAAAGAGAGCGAGAAAATATCCTACTAGACTTCAGACTAGAGGCTCGGCCTAGAGCACCAGAAATGTCAGTGAACTAAATCAACACTTGTTCTTTGGCCTCACACTCCACCATTCACCTAAGTCTGTGGCTCCAGATGGGGGTAGGCATAGGAGGACTCAGAGATATTGCAAGGAATCTGTGTATCCCTATGCACATCAAACCTTGTCTGCAGACAAAATACATCATGCACATATCAAGATAATTCTGTGACTAATAATATACCAGTTGATTCAGAAGTGTTATTGAATTCACAGTAGATATTTATCATTGTATATTTCCTAACCTAGGAATATTAAATGCATAATTAGAATCATATGGGATGGGTGCTATTGTTATTAAAAAGGGATTTTCAATCCTACAATGAACAAATTCCATTCCCAGATATATACTTAACAAAAATGAATCAGTATTCATCAATAGACATTATACAGGAATGGTCATAGAAGGATATTTATAATTTCCCCAAAGTGAAAACAACTCAAATGCCAACAAGAATTAAATGAATAAATACATTTGGTATGGCCAAATGCAAAAGGCATGGTCACAGAGCGGAATATGATACCGCAATAAATATGAACAGGCAGCAACTGCACACAACAGGATGAATCTGACAGTGTGACACAGAGCAAGGAAGCCAGAAATATAAAATGTATGCTTGGTGTAATTCCGCTTATATAATAATCCAAAAGAGGCAAAACTAAATCTTCGCTGTTAGAAGTCAGGAGCAAGGTAACCTTGAGTGGTGCAGAGACAGTGAGTGGAAGTTGAGTGAGGGGGGCTTCTGCAGAGGCTTATAGTGTTCAGTTTCTTGATCATCTGGATGTTGGTTACATGAGTGTATTCACTTTATGAAAATTCTTTGAGCTGTGCATGTGATTTTATATGTTGTTATTTATGTAAAATTTTAATAAAAGATTTAAAAAACAGAGGACGTGATCCCTATAACGATCCACCGCTCTGTGTAAAGGTTCACCCCGGCCAAGCTGAGAACTTACCCTTTGCCTCTCCATTTTTGTTCAGGTCATCTCCCCAAATTAAAATCATTCATGCCACCATCTCTACCTATAAAAACCTTCTTCATTCTTTAAGACCCAGCTCAACAGCACCACCTTCAAGGAACCTTCTCCACTTCTCCAGCCAGAAGTAAATTCTTACTCCCCCAAACCCTAGAGAGTTTTCATTGCATTTCTCTGATCACAATTCTGAGGTCTTCAGGGCTTTACACAGCACAGTGCTTGCCAAAGCTTTCTGGTGTTATAATAATATCCACATCTTAACCTCATTGTGCAGTGATTTATATTTGTCTTACTTCCTGCCCTCAAGAAGCTCACAGTGTTGAGAGAAATAGATATCTACTTATCTTTGTATATGTTTACTCATCTTTGTATTGCCCACCACACCCAGCCCATTACCACGTACACAGTGGGTACTCAGGCAGTGTTTCTGAATGAAGACAAAAGTCACCTGTAAAAAGCACTTGCAGTGAAAAAGATATCTTGATGAGCTCAGCAGTTCTATCTCCTATCTCTATAAAAGAAAATAAAGAAGACTTCAATATGAACACTGCCCTTTCTCCCAGGTGGCTGGTATTTTATTGGGGTTTATATGAAACTGAATATTCCGTTAGGGGTCCAATTATCTATACAGGCAAAAATGTGAGTTTTACACTACGAAGACCGAAGGCAGCTGAGATGTTTGGATCACAGTGATGGAGAGCTCAGCCCAATTCCAAGTTCCTTGGATCAACCTTGGCATGTGCTTCCACATATTAGGAAAAGAGATCCAACAATCAAATCAACAAGGCAACATGCAATGAAAAATGACAGAAGTGGCACTGAAGGATAAGCCTTCAAGTCCACTTCAGCCTGTCTCTCAGGAAGAGCAGTGGCATTTCTGAATAGTCTCCAATGTGTCTTCAATCTATAGTTCTGCCTCCTCTCTTCTCTTTTTCCTTCCTTCTTCTCAACAACCTGCACATCGTCTGGGTCAAATTCACTGTGAAATGATTTTTTTTTAATCATTAAGGCAAAATGAGCGGTGCTGGAGTGCTAAGATTCCTGAATTAATAATATTGCTGCCATCCGCGATTTTGACTTTCCCTTTTCTGTAGGCGGAAGCCAAAACATTAGGAGATATTTTCCAGCATTACAGTCAAACTGTGCATTTTTAGATCTGTGGGCAGGCTGAGTGATCTCTAGCCAGAGCCTCAGCCCTCAGCCCTACATTCCAATGTCATTCCCTTACCACAGCATCATTTCTGGCCTCCCCCAAGTCATTGCTTTGGAGAAAATGAAGCACATTTTTCAGAATTCAATTTAAGAATAACCCAGGCAACCTAAGGCCAACTGACAAGGCAGTTGGTGAAGTTGGCAGAAGGAAGAGCTGATATCAGCAAGACGTATGTGGTCAACACCTCCTGTCAATAAGATCTTTTTATACCTGTATCAAGAATTTTATTGAAAGCTGGAGTTTACAGGTCCAAACAGCCTAAAGTGTTGGCATCTTTTCCTTTTTACTACAATTGCGAGAAAACAGAGCATTCAAATTCAAATATGTATGCCAGCATGAACCTACTTACCATTCAGGTACCATCTTGAACATCATTTCTCACAGAAGTCTGGCCTGAGCCTAGTTCAGGTTAACAGTCTTCCTTCAAAGCGCTTGCCCAATTGTTATTTACTAATTACTTGTATAATCATACATGTATTGTCTGTCTCTTCACAGAAATATAAGTTCTGTGAGGGTAAGCCTTGCAGCTGTCTTGTCACGGCTGTGCCCCAGCATCACAGAGTTAATCAGGAGTACCTGACAGATACTCGTGGTTAACATCAGCCAGGTGACTACACAGACCGCTGGAACCTCACCCACCACAGTTGGAAACCAGAAAAGAAAGAAAAGTGTTTTTCATGAGCCAATATAGATGGTGAATCCATGAACAAATTTCCATTCCTTTTTCGTTCTCCCACACATCAGGACCCCCAAATGTCTCTTGTCCCTAATTTATGACATCACCATCCTCCAAGTCAACCAGTTTAAAAACCTAAGAAAAGCCATAAGCTCTGTCTGCTTTGTCAATCTCCCTACTTCCAACTAATTCATTCTACCTCTGCAAACTTTCTTCCAGCTGCTTGCCCCTCTCCTTCCCCTCAAGTCACCCCAGTCTAGAATCTTGCATCCACTTTTCTAGACAGCTAACTGGCTTCTGATTC